TCTCTTACTTAGAATACTTGAAGCATAATGTAGAACTCGATATTGCAATAACTTTAAACCCACAATCAAATAGGAACTTTCCTATTTTCAGCTTTAATGGCTTTTTATCAAACCTTTAACCTCTCCATCATCAAAATCGGGAGGTCAAAGAGGGTTCTTTCATCAATCAGCTTTTTATTCTCCCCATTTTCATGTCTCAAGTGTGTCACAGATATATTCGAGAGGCATATTGAGTATAAATCAAGAGACTTTGTATTCTCCCCAATTTCATGTCTCAAGTGTCACAGATCATCAATTTCAGAAGAACACACAGGTAATTTTTTTTATTTCCAACCTTTTTATGTGCTAATCGATAGAATATATTTTTCTATCCAACTTTTCTGTTTTATGTATTTCCAACTTTTGCTTATTAGGGTTTCCATTTACGTATTTTGGTTTGTTTATGATTGCTAGCTTGTGGTTCGATATTTTTTTTTTGAAAGGCAAAAAGGAAGGACAAAGAAGAGAGCTTCGACATTGTGGTTCGATAATTTATTTGTTTTGATTTCATATGAACACCCAACTTTTTTGTTTTATGTTTGTTCGATAGAAGTCCGCTGATATTATCATGAGGGAAGTTGTCAACAGTAAATTGAGCTAGCAGAATACATCAAATGAATTGGCATTAGATGGGAAACACAAATACTTGGCTTTCTCATACATATCAAAAACTCTAGCTCATCAACTTTGATCATGTATTGTTCCTTGGTGGGGCTGTGCGTTGGAATCACCCCTCAATACTTTAGATGACATAAGATATTATTTAGTCTATTTTCTTTACATGTGTTGGACCTGCTGTTCCCGCTATCGTTGAGGTTGGACCTGCTGTTCCTGCTATCATTGAGCCATCGCTTTCCAGGTATCATCAACTCATCTCTTCTTGCATCATCGATTTTTTTCTATTGTAAATCTTAGAAATCGTACTAACAATTTCGTAATACACATCTTTAATATAGTCAGACTATTATGTTCCTAAGATTGAATTTAATTCAAACCATCACCCCTTGCTTCTGATCTTAAAGGGGTTTAAACTATTTGATCATTTGATATGTTGATGGCAATCCTCTAACCAATGAGGTAATTAACATGTTGTTTGTATATTTATATTTAGGAGGAGGAAGCTAAAAGAAATGCAGGAAGCTGTTTTGTTGTTCTGGTTCGAACTTGTTCTTTGTTAAAGTTACGAAACTGTCCATTCCCATATGAAACCGTTTACTACCTATTTGTAAAAGTTACGAAACTGTCCATTCCCAAAAAAATATTGTATTATATGTTATAAAATGTTCAATGTTGTAAAATTAAGCTCAACCTTTGTAAGACCAAAAGCCTTTGGACCCAGATCTAAACTTAATTGAAGTTATAACTAATCAGATTGAAGACGTGAAATGGAGAAACCAAGAAAATCTTTTTGTCTTCCTTCCTTCTATTTTACATCGCAAGTATCCGAGAAATATGCTCAAGCTGATGCCGACCTTCCAATTTCCAGCAACAGTCTTCAATCACGATTGAAAATCCCATGGATTTTCTTGCAACGTTAGTCTTTAATTTATGGTTCTTTATATATTTTGAGTTCGATTTGGTCTAGAGTTGGATAAACAGCACTAGAGCTTATCAGTGAACTCGTTGATCAAATTAAATAGTTTACATCGACGAGGACATAGAATACTTAGGCATTGTTTGATAGAAATAAACTAACTTATTTTTTGGGTATACGTTTGCATACACATAAGCTAAACTGACTTATTGAAACACTACTTAGAGTAACATTTTGGTAGTTTATTGTTATTTTTTCCTATTATAACCTTCATTAATATTAATTATAAATAAATATTAATAAATTTAAGTATTACTAATATTAATTATTAATAAATTTTAGTTATTAATAAATATAAATTGAAAAATAATTATTAATCACAGATTAATATTATTTATTAACCGTTTACAATAAGTATTAATCATATCAATTTATTTTCATATTTTCTAATTTTTTATTCAATATATTTAGTTATCAAAATGCAAATATAACAACTTTAACAATGTTTATGTAACACAAATGTTAAGCCCCAGATCAATTCTTGTATCAAGCGCGATTCATGAGTGAGTTTGAGATTAAAGGTGATCAAAGGTCTAGATCCCTTCTTATGCTTCTCACCTTAACTAATCTTTTTACACGATTCTTCGCCTATTTAACATACACTTATCGGGGTCACTTACCTTACTGGTAAAAATTACAAAGACCAAAAATCTTACATGGTAATACGCATGATTAAGACCAACAATTTTATCTAATAAGACTATAAGAGAGAGTGAAAATAATTGATATGATTAAAATTGAAAAGTTAAGGATCATTAGTATAAATATTTTATTTTAGAGTTCAAATCTAAAACTTGAGCAAACCTCAGGGACCACAAGTGTAATTCACTATTTCACTGTCTATATGTCGAGTTGAGTTATTGACTTTTCAAGGGCCATAATTGAAACTTCGGATAGCAAACTCAGCTCTTTGGGCCGGTAGAAACAGACGTTAAAAATGGCGGTCTACGGCGCCTACTCTACTTTCCTTAGCCTATGCCGTCGTCACCATCACCGGCACCGCTATCATTCATTTATTTCATCTCCGCTGCACACGTATCACAACATCACCGGATTCTTATTTTGTTTCAGTAATGATCGGCCGATGAGCACTAGCGCGGAGTCGGTGGAGCCACCGGAATTGTCCGGTAGGAACGCTTACGACCTCCTAGGGGTTTCTGAGTCTTGCAATTTTGCTGAAATTAAAGCTTCTTTTCGGAAATTGGCAAAGGAAACTCATCCCGATATTTCTCAATCGCCCGATGGATTTTCTAATTCCAACCGATTCGTTCAAATTCTTGCGGCTTATGAGGTGTGCAAATGTTTGTTGAGTGACATTTCTGGTAATGATTGTTTGTTATTTGTTAATAATCAGTTTAAACCATTACGTTCCTGTTCTATTTATGCCTTTCACAGGAATTTGATTTCTTATTTCTATATATGTTATTCTATTACAATGCAATAAAATATAGGGGGAGAGATAACTTGTATAAATTTCAAACCTTCATAGAACTTAATCACCAGGAAAAGTTGAGATCCTAGTTATAATGTGTATGTAGTTAGATACTCTACGTGTGGTACCAAGAAATTGAGCAAGAGGGGGACTGATCATCTCACTGTATAGATGAATATTTTTTTCACAAGTCATTGTTAAAAGGGGTAAGGAAACTTTATCCAGGTGCAATGGTAAGTTATTGTGCTACTAGCCTACTATAGCTAGATAATTAAGAAAATGACCATTTAAATTCATGCTCACCGATATATACCATAACTTAGGACCAGAACCAAACAGTATTTTACTATGCGGAAATGATATGTGTAGTTGTGTACAGAAAAGCATACCAAGGCTAAACATGAAGAATTGTTGGAATCAAAATGAACTCAAATATCTACCAGAAACATGGAAGTGCTCAAATCATATTTGAAAAGTGTAACGCATTCAGCAGTTTATTGGATCTTGTGGCAACTCTGATGCACCAAGGTTGCTTTGTAATTGTTGGTGTTGGTGATCGGTAAGGGGAGTCTCGATACACATGCAAATATGCTATTTCTTGGATTGTAGTCCAAAGTATTTAAGTAGACGAGAGATTGAATGAATGCATACTTCATGCAGTAATGAAAAAGAAATCCTTTTATAAGTATACAGGGTATAGTGTTATGCTAATAGCTCTCCATGATTCATCCTTTTCTATAGATGGTATGATCAACGTTTTGGCTTGCCTACTACAGTGTCTTATCATCTTGGGAGTGCAACGAGTACGAGATTGGGGATTGTTTATTCTAGCAAAGTAAAAAAACTTGATAACTTTTTTGTTTCCAGAAAAAGCCAACCTTGAAAATATCAGGCTTCATAATAATGTTTTAGTTTTCATGTGTTGTGATATGTCATCGCAACAAGCATCTGCTACCTACTACCATGTTGCAATGAACTTTCTTGTTGCTAAGATCTGGTGTACTAAGTTCATAGAAACAATGTTCACAAGTGTTGCAGATGAAAAGGGAGTTTGATTGTTCTAAGTAATTTAAATGCAGATACTGTCAGATACTGAAAAGAGAGCTCACTACGACAGGTATCTATCATCTCAAAAATTAGCTTTCCGGAAACCCTCACGACAAGGTTTGGCAATGTACACATATGAATCCTATGAAGCAACAGAGAAGCAGATGGAAGTTGTTGAATGGTTAAAATGGTATAGATATGCCATAAATGATATTGTATCAGAGAAAAGGATGGTGGATGGAACAGGCTACTTTGATATACTGGAAAACAATTTTTACTCTGCCATACATGCAGCATATTATGGCCCTTTGATTCAGTCAATGAACTTCCTTCCTGATTGTTTTGAAGCTGATGAAAGGTCTGTGCCTGGAACTCATGAGGTGCTGCATCTGGTTTCTGGGAGGGACCTTTTTGGGAAGGTGTGCATAGCTAAAAAGGTTCCTGAATTATCACATGCCTGCAATGAACAACTTCCATTGCACCAAAGTGCGAGTTTGGACGTGAGCTACACTGATCATGATTATGGGACTCGAATTAGTTCGGAGGAAACTTCTGTTGGAAGCTGTCAGAAGCAAGTCAGAATTTCTGGTCACCACACATGTGATGCATACAAAGATCTAGAGTTGCATGTATCCGGAAAACTTGTTGCTGTGGCGAATAGAGTCCCACCAAAGAGTTCCACCATTGACATGCCAAATGAAGATTGTCAAGATCGCATACATGTTTATCTTAATCTACATGAGGACCATATGCTTTCAGGTGCTGAGTTCAATAAATATTCTGAGGAAGATGCAGTTGCATCCAGGATGCTCTTAGGAACTATAACTGGATTAGGGACCAGTGCCGAAGAAGGGTCTTGTTTTGTCCACAATAATTATGGTATACAGACTCATGTGGTTATGAAGCATCGGACACTGCTGGTGTGCATCATTGCTATCTTTAACATTTTCCTTTCCTTTCTTCCTCTTCTTTGTTTAGTCTGTGTCCACACACCTGCAAGTACCACATGCAGAGACACACATACAAACTATAGAGAGCAAAGGCCCAGTTTAATCTTTGCACTCTTTTTCTCCACTGAAATTGATAAATTGGTCTAAATTCTTGTCAGGTGAAACATATGCACTGGTATCAACTGGGAGATGAGGCTTCTGTTTGTGAATGTAGATGCACTAGAGCTCGGTTACCACCAAGCAAGTAAGGTTCATATTTTGATCTTTCCCTGGATTCTTATTAACGGATCTGTTTTGGATTTACTAACTCATGCAATTTATAAATATATAGATATGGTCAAATGGGTATTCGATATGCTAACCTGTCCATCTTCAATTGGACTTTTTTGCCTGGATATAACTAAAGACAGTTCTTTTTATTGGTTTTTGAATGGATTCTATTTAGACTGCATTTGTATATTAGTTGGGAAGTTTAAGGTGAAGGAAAATGGTTATTTTTGTGTATAAACCTGTTCATTTAGACATTTAGTTTACAAAAATTAAATGGAACAAGTAACAAGAAAATTATCACTTTTGTTATACCCTTATATGATTCTTGATCCAAGTTGGGTTTACATTCTGGTTGGAGGGTAAGTCTGATACGGAGCCTCAACTTAGGCACTTTCTACAATCCACCTGTTTTGGTTATTTGATGAGACACCACACACACTATTGCTGCATGAAATGTATACAATGATAAGTAGTTTCATCCCCCAGAAGCTAGTGGACCAAAAGGAGCCCAGAAGCACCTCAAGTCAGTGGTTTTATTTAATTCCCCTTGCATAAACAAGAGTATGATCTTAATCCAGTTTTCATGATAACATGTAAATCTGTTGCTGCTTTACGTGCCTCCCCCCCACCCTGGATGTAAGTTTTTTTGTAAGCGCGTGTTTGTCTAGTTGGTGGCTCAATTATATTTGTCTTACATTGTAATTTGTTCTCACATTGATCAAAGATCATGTGTGCGAACCTATGTGATCCTCATCGAGAACCCATGTATAAGTATCCTTTATTATTTTATTATTATCAAAAGTTGAACTCAGTACCTTCATTTGGTTTTGTGTCATATACCGGTATTTTTAGTTTGATGGCATTGTCTGTTAGGACGCAGGGCCTACTAATTCTTCTATGAATGTAAAGTTGCTCCCAACCACCTGATGGATTTTTCGCTGGTCAACTTTTTCAATGACAGGTACTGGTTATTTGAGCCTCGTTCTGGCTTGCATGACATTGGCGGTTGGTATGTTGAGACATATGGGAAGGATAAGAAAGGAAAGACTGTACCATCTCAGAGGTATTGGGATGGTGTTGACTTAACTGAACCTTCTGGAAGGTAGTTCCGAATCACACAGTCTCGCAGTTTCTTTTGATTTTTAAGCACATTAATAAACAAGCACCATAACAGAATTTGCAATTGCTATAATCACTTCCAAGAATTTGCACCAATTAATAAGGGGAGCACCAATCAACATGCTTATGCAGTTCTGCTTACAAGCACATATATATCCTACCGAGAAGATGTGTACTGTCTCATGTGCTTGTAAGCATGCTTGATTTGTGAGATGTCCTAAACAGGGTCTAGAATTGCGAGTGCTACTCATGTGTTTTAATCTGGAGAAATTGATTGCAAAATCCAACTATTTTATGGTTTATGTTGGAAACTTCACTGAAAATTGGACTTCTTAATTGCAGCATTTTCATGGTTTGAATTCTGAAAAGGAATTCAAACATTTTCTTCCTAATCCAGCTTGGGCATCATCACAAAATTTAGGATGCAGAAAAAATTTCATTCATAAGGAGAAGAAAAATCTATTATAACAGCAAGGAACTAGAAGATACACTAGTCACTACATGTTTTTTGTTCTTGAGGGAATACACATCATATTTTAAATACTATACCTAGGTAACTATTCTGGTCATGTATACTTTGCAAGTAAAATGCATGCCGATGATGTTAGTAACTTGTAACCAAACAATCTTTTATTTGTAGCACTTACTATAAAATTTTAAGGTTACTATTTTGCAACTAAGAATCTTTCATTTGTAGGACTTTTTTATAAAAAAAAAAAATTACGGCGATTTGCGTTTTCCCAGAAACTTAAAAAAGTCACTACTTTGAAGTTGAAAACCAAAGCATTTGCTTATTTAAATTCAAATTGTATTTCCTGTTTCTGAATGGAGGGAGTAAATGATACTTCTAAAGGGATTTCAGGGCATGCTTGTATGTATCAGAATTTGCTGTTGGAAAATTAGACTATACTCATTAAATTTATGTGACGTGCAGGAGGGTTCATCCAGCCATTTACTTGCTAGCTCTTGCTTACCGAACTTTAGATATAGAAGACGCCAAGAGAAAAAAACAAACGTTTAAAGATATAATTGAAGGAAAAATATCTGAAATATACAATTGGGGCAAAAAACTTATGCAGGAAGGAATGCACATGTAATTTCTGGCTTGGCAGATGCATATCCTGCACCGTGATTGTATGGCAAATGGCTAAATGTTTTCCAGTGGATTATATATCTTCTACAAAATTGGCTATCATATTTGGAGAACTTGAGAATTCCCATCAGCTATGCTGATCAAGAATATCTATATGTACAGTGGAGGTAAGGAACTAAGGAAGAGCCATCCGATGTGTTATACCTTAATTTATGGACGATGATAGTTGTTAAGGAACCCATCAACAATGTTTCTGGCATTTGCTTAATAAATGTGACATACGTGAAGTTAGTTGCAAGCATCATCATGCATGTTGTTTCTGCCTCTATGCCAAGAATTAACCACTTGTGGTATCATATGAAGTTTTCATTCCTTTGGACATTCGGTGACACCATTTAGTGATAACACCAAAAACAAAGAGATCTGAAAGAAAAGTATATCTAGTTCCGTCTGTCCATGCAACTGCTGCTGTTGTTGGAGGCTAGTTGAAGAAGGGAGTAAGCAAGGTTTTTTCCTGGTTTCCTGTAGTTTGTATTTGTAAAATCATGCGATCCAAGTATCTCGTAATGTAAGCAAGAAATACTTGAAAGATGGCGATTCCTGTTTATACTTTTAATACTATATATACGTCTATACAAATGACACAGCATTCTAGTTGCATGCTAATATTAGTCTGCCCATCAATGTAACCTTTCTTCATTTCTTCAAGTTCTATGTCTTTGCTGTCTTTTCTTCAGCTCTCTCCGACTACCATCTCAAAATCGCAAAATACATCTGAATATGATTTTTCACACAATTGAACATAGGTGTATAATATGAATATTTGCTTCTGTGCGTTTCCTGATTACTTTAGCAGGTCCTCCCACTTACAGTATTGCCCTCCTGCCAGAGCACGATAGTACCTGTCCCTGCAGTAGACTGGCCTTCCATCAGCAGCCTCAGCAGCAGCTGCTGCTAAATCGTCATCAGCCTTCACACCCAGTGGTAAGCTTAGGAGCTCCTCTTTGCTGTGAAATTAGTTTTCAATATAGATGTTGTCTCTAATTTATGTTTTAGTGTCCTGTACATTTAAAAAGTGAATGTTTTGTCTTAATGTACCTCATATTCACACCGGACTTTGTAGCCACAACATTCCCTTTCATTGCAAAAGTGTTTTGGATGAAGTCTTCTACTGGTGTGGCAAAAATGATCAATGAAACCGCTGTAACAAGTAACGCACCTGTTCCAACTAGCGTTTGTTTCAGCAATTTGATAACTGGTTTGACCTAGATTTTCAAGAATGTAGTCAGGCTTTTCAGTTTTTTGAAATATGATTGTATACACATTATTGACATGTATTAAAATGGGATATGATGATGGCAGAAACAACTGTCAACATGTGATGTTAGAATAGAGAACTGGAAGAACAAAACTTGCACAGACATCAAATTGTTTCTCATATTTTGCATAAATCTTATATGTGCGCATGAATGAATATGTGCATTTGTTGTTTGTATTTTAAGTTGATAAGTAATTTTTCATGTGGGAATTATGCAACATGTATTCAGTTCATGGATTACTAGACTTATATTTAAGTAAGTATTGTTTCTTGGAACTCTTGGTACCTTGTATGACCCCAATAGTCTATCACGGGCCAGAATCTGCAATGAGAGAAGCAAAATTTGAAGTCGTCAGAGGAGACGGATTAATCGTGAAATGAAATTATATCAGTTTTCAAGATTTTCTTGTGGCAAGAGGACAATGGTAGGTAGCTTATTTGAAGGTTTATGGTATAAATTCATGGAAAATGCTTGTGAAGTGGCTTAGATAGATTAATCAAGTAATTTTTAGGTGATGGTAAATGCTCTGACAAGTTATAATCATATTATTTTGGGCAGCAAATAGACCAGCCTTACTTGGTGGTAGAAATTGCTGAGGACTTCAGAAGCTACGTACTCCAAATATGAGACAAGAATGGTAAAACTGATATATGGTTAACGTTGGAAGATGCTATATTTGAACAAAACACCTTTTGGACATATACAATCTAAAGAAGTGCACTAGTTCTAGATAAGATTGATGCATCTTAAGGTAAAGTTAGAGCATATATATGGTTGGAGAAGGTGCAATCTATCATGGACTGCAACAATTGACCAGGATGTGGTTAGATAGGAAAAAATGATATTTTTAACATACATCAGATGGAGAAAGACGATTTATTTAGAAATCCCAAGTGCTTGAACTGTGTGTATTCACATGATTAAGAAATGAATAGTAGTCTAACCTCTGGAGGCTTTACCCACATTTGTCCATCATACCAACCACTCTCTTCATAGGGTATCACTGCTGATAACAGTCTGTCACCGACATAACTCCATCCCTGCCACAAAAAATATTAAATTTCTTTGTTAAACGAGGAGTTTTGATTTTGGGCCAGTTCTGGCAACAATAAGCGAGCTTATTTTTTAAGCTTAAAAAGCTCCTTTTGGTTAAGCAATAAGCCAGGTGATAAGCCAGCTTTTTGAAATTCTAATTCAAGTAGTGTTTCAATAAGCTCCCATGGATTTTCTTTTCACTTCTTTTCAGTTATTCCCCTTGTATTTTTCCAATTAATTGTACATCGTCATCTGGATTATCAGCCAGTTTTTATCAAACATGACTAGCTTATAAGCTTATAGCTAGCTTATCTGTCAACAACTAGCTTTTCAGCTAATAGCTAGTTTATCTGCCAACAGCTAGCTTTTCAGCTAATAGCTAGCTTATCTGCTAGTTTGCCTAACATACCCCGAATCATAAGTAGGGGAAGTGATTGTCCAATTCGGATGCACACACGTTTCATTGATTACTTCCATTGAAAAGACATACCAGATAAATCCTGAGAACAACTAATGAGACAAGAAAAAGTGTTCCTGTTCCTGCAGCTAGTAAAAATCGTAAAGGATCCTGCATAGAAAGAAGACGGTATTATGTCGTAATTTGGACAAGAGAGGAAAGCCCCTTAATCAAATGGGATAATTAGTTTATTCTTGTGAGTTTGGTTAGTCATGAAAGCACATATTAGCAACTTATTTCTCTTTCTTTCTTTTTCCAAATAAGATATCTAATTGACATCACTAACGTATTTAGTTGAAGTGTCACATTTTCATTTGTCATATGTCTACAAATTTGAGAGACTGCTTTCCATGAGAAGTAAGAATTGTATGCAATGCTTCGTCTTTGTACTGCCTTTTCTAGGTAATATATGATGGATAAATAAAATGATATACTTTGATTAAACATTGATGCACTGTTGAGTTGAAAAAAAAACAATCTTATTGATTCTTATGGTAAAATAGACAACTATACACATTTATCAGTCTACAAGAACAAATAGCCTTATTGATTATGCTTTCAGACTTCAGCGTTACCTTTTATTAATAAGAAGTGAAATGAGACTTCAGTTTTAAGCTTCTCTTAGAAAACAAAGCATTACAACATCCTGCTAAATTAGAACTCATAGCATAAAATATGATAATAGATATGGTGGAGGAAGAGGTTTTACTTTTCTCTTATTTTCTATGAAGCGTAGAACACACATGGGACAGTTTACTGAATTTGTCTTACATGTGAAGGATTAAAGCTTGCAGCTGATATCGGCAATCCAAGAACAGTGAATGTGACCAACCAGAGGCCTCCAAGCCGTAGGAAAAAGGATTGCGGTCTCAGTTCGCCCCAAGAGTACAACGGTCCTTCTTTCAGAGATGAGTATTCGTTCACCTAGTTCATAACCAGCAACATGCAGACATGACCCTCCATCAGGTAAACAATATGTTTGATGTAAAATATGTACATTATTCTCTAAAATATTACTCACTCCCCCCCCCCCCCCC